CTGTCCTGCATGGAGTAGGAGCCTTCTGCTGGTGCCCTTGCACCTGATCTTGCCCTCCTCCTCCCAGTCTTTCCACCCACAGCCATCACAGTAGCCATTCTACAATGTGCATGTGATATTGTCACCCCATCATTCGACATCCTCTGGCCCCCTCCCCACAGTTGATCTTGAGATAAAGGCCAAATACCTGATGTGGTTTCCAGGGCCCAACTTGACTGCTCTCATCTTCCAGTGACCTTACTCTTGAGCCTCTTTTTCCAGTCTCCACCCATGGACTGTGTACTCCACCATCAGGCATTCCTTCATTTCCTCAAAGGAAGCCTTGGTCTGCTCTCACTTGCCCAAGTCTTTGCCTCTGCTTGGAGCACTAGCTGCTTCTGTCCGTTGCTGAGCTAACTCATCCCGCAGATCTCAGTGTGGCTGTTTCTTCCCTTCCTTTGGGAAGTTTTGCTGACCCCCAACACTGTCCCTACTGCTATAGAGAAGTCTGTCCACTGCCTCCACTTCCCACTCTTCTTTCCTGTCGCTGCACTTACCACACTGTGGACAGCTCCCTGTATTGCCCACTGCTCTCCCCACTAGACTTTAAGCTCTGTGAGGTTGAGGGGCATGTCCATGTAGAACTCCAGCACTCTCAGAGTTAAATAACATCAGATGAAAATGGTAAGCCATGTTTGCCTCTGCATTTTAAGGTATTTGGCAAAGATGGCTGAAAAGTGAAATTGGCAACAAAATGAAACCATTATCGTTGGACCCAAGAAGTTGAGGCCGAAATACCTGGGACTCCTGTTTTTCCAGTGGCCTCTTAGAAGCCTGAGGGAACCATCTGGCGTTCCTGACCAGCCCAAGTCCCAGGTCTGTGTGTCCACAAGGAACTAATTATACTTCACTTCAGAAATTATTTAACTGTGGAACTCTCTGTACTATCAACAAACATAGAAGACCAGAATATTCCTAGTCTCTAAGATGGATTTGTATGAGGCCGAAACACCTTCCAATATTTTCAGTTCATTTTGTGATTTTTGAACAATGGAAAAGTGGCATTTCCGCATTAAGTAATGGAAAAAGGTATTCAGAGCTTTATTTTTGTTCAAGCGTTGCACATTTCCTGCCAAAAATATTAATTAACTACAGTGCCTTTTAATGTGTTGATCAAGTTTGGCATTTATTCCTGTTTGGAGAAAAATTAAAGATGGAGTTGAGTTGAATCTTTGTCTTCTGAAAGTGGATATTTTTGACCATTTGCATGAAATATGTTTTGTTTTTTTTTTTTTGAGAGTTTTAGATGATAAAAAAGATTTTTTAATTTAGTTTTTTAAGGTAGTTGTCTCCCATTTTCAGCCCTCTTCATGATACAAAGCAAGTTTTTGTTTGTTTTTTGTTTTGTTTTAAATTGGTATGGTATATATCAGGTGGTTATTTGCCAGTTAGTCTGAGAGCTAATAAGAAATGGGTATTTGGATTTAATTCAGTTCCATTAGGACAGATTTACATTTTTGTGATACAGGGACTATTATTCTGGCAGTTGTAAGGGATTTTTGTGCTAAGAAGCAGTGCTGACAAAGACAGCACTGTACACGCTCCATCTATAACTGAGCACTTTCACACTGCAATTTAGGAGGTGTGCAATTCAGGAAATTGCTGGCTTTGGCTGGAGCATACTTTTACTGCAAGGAAAATTTTATTCGTCACTCAAGTAATTGGCAGTTTTAATACCTTGTTCATAATTACCTTATAAACAAACGAATATATAAACCAAAGATTGTATGGTCTGTTATCTAACTTGTAGCCTTATTTGACCAACATGATAGACACCTGTGGGGCTCCCTAGCCCCCAAAACTAATTTGCTTTATTTATTGCACACATCCATAACTGAGTGTTTTGTTTTTGTTGTTGGTAAATACAAATGTAGCTGTACTTACCGCAGACAGCCTGGGGACCAAATCCAGATGCAGAGTTTGAAGGGAGATAGGGCTAGGGATGGGGGAGGGGATAGAGAGAGGGGCACTTTAGAGTGACTGCAGTGTTTGTAGGAGGACATCCTGCTAATGCAAACATTTGGATTATGCATTTAATAGAAAACTTTTGTCCCCTAGAGCAGTGTGGTTTTATTTAACCCACACACCCTGACCCTAAGGCCTTGTGGCTTGTCTCTTGGATGGAATCCATCTCCGGGACCTGGGAATTGACTAATTGTCTCACTTGCATTACCCTGTACCTCACAGCTAGATCAAGGAGTTTATACACAGGCAAATCCAGATGTGGGAAATGGTCAAAAGCAGAGGTCATGGCTGACTTGACTCTAAACAAAAGTCTGTAAGGCTCTGTGGGAATCTGAAGGGCTTGAGATTCATTTGTGACTTGTACATAGGACTGCTGAATTGTCTCTTGTTTTTAAACTTTATTATTATCATAAAGTTCGACTCTTAAGATATGCATTGTCTATGCTGGTTACCTGACATTAGATTTTCTGATGACTTGGACTTTAAAGTTGGAAAAAGACAGTCCACCCACAGTCCTTAAAAATACTGTGCAGAAGGGTTTTAACAGTATTTCGAGAAGCTTTCTTAAGTTGTTTAAAGATAAAATGTATAGCCCGTTTTCTCCCTTTGTTATTCTCTTGTGAAGAAGGTGGCACCTGACAGGAAGTCGGCCACCTTAACTCTGGTGGATGCTGAACTTGTGCAGGCCCTGGGCCCCCTCTCAGCTGCAAAGCAGGCGAGCACAGACTGGGAGGGGCTCCGTTTTGGGGCATTCTTAATGTTGGCATGATGATGGCTCAGTCAGCCAGAGTAGATTCCCAGATCAGTTTAAAACCAGAAGTTCAGCATTTTTGCAAGGTGGGAAGTAGCAGCCTTTTCAAGGGAGGTACCCATCTGTATGAGAAATTGAATGCCAGAATATCTTTCATATTCTGTATTCTATGAAAGAAGCCTTAAGGGATTGCTTTAGGAACAGACCAGGCTTATTCTTTGAGTTGGCTGGGGAATGCTTGAACTTGCTAGGTGAAAAGCCCTAGTTTTAAAATGTTTTGGGATGTCTGTACCAGAGAAATTTTATTATGATTAAAGGGCATACTATATGAAAAGTGTGGAGCATAGGGCTTGGCACTTAATCGATCCTCAACATTATTGGATTTTATACACATTCTAGGAGTGATAGAGAATTCTGCCTCTAAGAATATCTCAGGATGGCAGAGAAGACCAGTGGTGTAAGTGCTATGTCAGCAGGCAGCACAGGATTTTGTGAAAATATGAGAGGTACACCTCACTTGGGAACCTCCTGAGATAGTGAGAGACTGATGAGTTATAATAATGCAGAAGAGCTTAATACACTCAGAACACCATAGAAATCCAGTTTTTGGTACAAAAAATACACAAGTTATATTTTGTAAGTTTTCTTTTTAATTGAAGATTAACTTCAGATCCTGTATAAAGACCAGTGTGTCACTTGTATAAGACACAGAATTCTGTTTAGAGCATTCAGATTGTTTCATTATTCCTTGCATTGTAAAGAGGAGACCTTTCTATGATTTGTAGGTATGCTTTCTACCTTGCCGTTATTTTCCCCCGCCAAAAGATGGTCTAAAAAAGTCCAAACTACATGATCTACTTTGACAATTAAGATGGCTTGCACATCCATTTGATTGCTGTTTTCTAACAAAATTGTCATATAATGCTGTATTTTTCTTCGGTAGTTACTGTATTGATGACTTTTTAAGAGCTTTGGAATGGCCTCTCTTTTTTTTTATTTTTCCTGTTTTTGTTTCTTTCCATTTGTTCAGTATAACACCAACAGAACTTTACACAATTGGTGGAAGCATTCTGTGTGTGTGCTGTACCATTTGATAGCTACCAGGAGTATATGACTATTGAGCACTGGAAATGTGGCTACTGTGACTAAGGAGCTAAATTAGCATTTAATTTGAATTAATATAAATGCAAGGAGCCTCTTGTGGCTAGTGGCTGCCATACTGGACATCATGGTCTGATGTTTAAGACTTTTAATGTAACACTTGGTTTTCATCCAATTATCCCAAGGGATTATTCAAACTGGAGTGCTCTTATGTGATGCTTTTGTACTGTTGAAAGCCCTGGAGCACATTTACTGCTATTGAAGACTATAGCAGTTCCTTGATACTTGCTATTTCTTAAAGAAAAGGGGATCTCTCTCGCATGATTCAAAAAAAATCCCAATCTGACGAGTATTTTAAATTCAATGGCACCTGTAATATGGGCACTTTTCAAGAGAATAATTAGAAATAGATTAGGAATCAAGAAGAAGGAATAGGGAATTAACTCATCAGCGTCGGGTATGCCACATTGGTGTTACGCATTTCCTATACCATTTAATAAGGGGAGAAGGGGGACGAGCTGTTTAGAAAAATAGGGAGGTATGTGGCTCACAACTGTAATCCTAGCACTTCGGGAGGATGAGGCTGGAGCATTGCTTGAGGCCAGGAGTTGAGACCAGCCTAGACAACATAGTGAGACCCTCACTGTACAAAAAATCAGTGAGGTGAGGTGACACTCACCTGTAGCCTTAACTACTTGGAGGCTGAGGCCGGAGTATCCCTTGAGCCCAGGGGTTTGAGCTGCTGTGAGCTGTGAGTAAGCCACTGCACTCTAGCCTGGGTGCCACAGTGAGATCCTGCCTCCAAAACATAACAATAAATAAAAATAGATTTTTTTCAAAAGTGAAAAATAGCCTAAAGAAAATCAAACTGTTGTCTTTAAGTGCATAGCATTCAGACAACCACAGCTGCTAAACAGTACCCCAGATTTACACAGAAATGTTTTTCACATATTAGAATATTATGATTTATAATTTAGTGAGTAACTTAAAATGGCCATGGTATTGCCTTTCAACTTTTAAAAGTACTGTTTAGATTAGTCAGTTTCATATTTCCGAAGTACCCCAGTCAGGAATAGAAAGTATTTTTCTTCTTTCAGATGGTTGCACCATTAACCTTGCTAACTGTGCTTTCTTTTAATTCTAGGGCTGGAAACAGAATTGTTGAAATACTACCTGAACATCTGAAAGAGTTTCAATCCCTTGAAACTTTGGACCTTAGCAGCAACAATATTTCAGAGCTCAAAACTGCATTTCCACCCCTACAGCTCAAATATCTGTAAGTGAAGTTTTCTTTAGCAAAAACTTTCACCTGTAATGAAAATATTTTAATGAAAAAATAAGATATAACAAACTCCTCTTTACTACTGATGGATCCAAAGTATAATTTATTGACTTGGAATTTGCTGTAAGCTTGAACGACCACAATCTTCCATTTATTCTTACATTTTTAGGTTACAAAAAATTACACATTTTTTATTAGAAAACATAGGTAGTATGAAAAGTGCTCATTTTTAAAACAATCAAAATCAGACCATTGCTATGTTTTATTAATAAATGAATGTCATAAAAAGTGGATATTTATAAAAAAATTTTTGCAACCATCACGTATTTTAATCACTCTTTTCCCAGCAATATGTGTGAATCTTAACATCTGTCCTTGAGGACCTAAAGAGTAAATATTTTAAGTTTCTACTGATGGTTAGGTTCCCGGGAGACTCTTTAATAATACAGAGATGGCCTCCACTTTAACTTGCAAATAAATCAGAAAGAGAAGCTCATCTTTAAACTTTCAACAGGTATCTCAACAGCAACCGAGTCACATCAGTGGAACCTGGGTATTTTGACAATTTGGCCAACACACTCCTTGTGTTAAAGCTGAACAGGAACCGAATCTCAGCTATCCCACCCAAGATGTTTAAACTGCCCCAGCTGCAACACCTGTAAGTGAAATGTCCTCTTAGATACTGTTTCTCACCTCCTCCAAACCCTTGGTGTCTACTGCTTAAAATCTACAGTGTGGCAAAAGGAGTTTAGGGACAAGGATATAGCCACCTTTCCTTTGAGAGTTGGAGCTGTAAAATCTCCAAATTGGAAAGAGCCTTAAACATCACCTAGTGCCAGCTGCTGCTTGACAAGACACGTTAGATTCTTACTGAGAGAGCGAACAGCCTAATCATTGAACAACACCAGTACAAAAGTGCCATTGTGGCACTGAAGAAATCCGGGGTCTCTCAGCAGCTGTGGTTTATGAGAATAATACCAGCAATTCCAGGAGGCTCTGATAGCTTGAGTGGCTGTAAAGATCTGTCTCGTTAATAATAGTGGAACGATCTGTGAACAGACTCCTGCAATAGTGCAACCTTGGCTGCACATTACAAACACTTGGGGAGCTTTTAAAAGTCTTGCTGCCCAGGCCACACCCTAGATCAATTATATTAGGACCTCTGGGAATAAGATCCAGGCTTCAGAAATTTTTAAAACTCCCAGGTTGGGTCCAGTGTGCAACCAAGGCTGAGAACTACTGCCTTAAGGAGAAATAATTAAACCTAAAAAGAATGGTGAACAATAGTAACCAACTTGTAAACACATTGTACAGGATAAATTTGAGGCCCTGCTCCTTGGTAGACTTCATGTTTTAGTATAACATTTAATAATCTCATTCTGGATTGTTTAAAAACAAATTTTAGTTTGTGTCTATACTGAGCGGGCAAGACTTTAGAAATTAAAGTGCAGTCTAGTTTCAGTATTTTATTATTACAAAAACACGTGACACATTTTAGTAGGAAATTCACTTTCTGCTTAACAAATTGAAATTCTTTGCAATAAAAATGTTTAGAAACTGAAAACACCCTATGTAATTGAACACCGACTGGTTTAACTATATTGTAGTAATGACACATTTTAATACTACCTCCAGAATTTAATTGTCATATAAGCTAACTCTTATGATACTCAATGCAGTGAATTGAACCGAAACAAGATTAAAAACGTAGATGGACTGACATTCCAAGGGCTTGGTGCTCTGAAGTCTCTGAAAATGCAAAGAAATGGAGTCACGAAACTTATGGATGGAGCTTTTTGGGGGCTGAGCAACATGGAAATTTTGTAAGTGCTGGTTATCACAGTCCTTAGGTAGTGTGATCATAGAGTGCTAGTGTACATTCAGTAAGTCTTATTTGAAATCCTATGTTAAAATCTCATAATCCACAATCTTATTTATAATTTAGTATTCAGTTTTGATTCAGGTAATATCAAGAATTTGTAAGTACATAAACTTGTAAGCACCTAAATTAAAAGAATATATAGTTGTTTTTTTTGTGTGTTTTTTTTTGCTGGTGTCTTCATATAACAAAAGCTGAACATCTAATAACAATAGGAATATGTAATAGGTTATAATCATATGTCCCCTTTGAAGAGACTAGATAATGAAGCTTTGATCCTGCTTTTGATTCTTATTGTAAATGTAGGCAGCTGGACCATAACAACCTAACAGAGATTACCAAAGGCTGGCTTTACGGCTTGCTGATGCTGCAGGAACTTCATCTCAGCCAAAATGCCATCAACAGGATCAGCCCTGATGCCTGGGAGTTCTGCCAGAAGCTTAGTGAGCTGTGAGTTGCCTTTTATTCTCCTCAGGTTTGAGAGCAGGGATCATGCCAGGGCATGAGCTTCTTACCACTGATCTGTGAAATTTTCATAACAAAGTTTCCAAGGTGACAGCTTTTTTCACATGCAACCTAGTCTTATTTTTGTTGTGATAAGTTGAAGCCAGTTCTGCTGTTGCAGTCCTTTGTCACATTGGCAAAAGCAATGATGGTATTTTCAAGTACGGAGAATGTATTTTTTTAAATTACTGAGATTAGTAATATTTACTTGGGTATTAATAAAGCAGAATTTAAAAGTAAGGATTAGCGTAACTCACACAGTACCTGTCTTTTGGAAGACGACATTGTGTTGAATTGAAAAATAAAAGCTCTTGTTTTTCTCTTTTCTTTACAGGGACCTAACTTTCAATCACTTATCAAGGTTAGATGATTCAAGCTTCCTTGGCCTGAGCTTACTGAATACACTGCACATTGGGAACAACAAAGTCAGCTACATTGCTGATTGTGCCTTCCGAGGGCTTTCCAGTTTAAAGACTTTGTAAGTTACACATTTTGCTGTCAGTACATGAACCTAATTGGTTCCTAAATGTGCCCACTTTTCTCCTAGCAGATTTCCTTTGTTGTCAAGGAAATGTGTGTAGCCTCAGAGGCAGTGTTTTAATCTTTTCCAGATCAGTTTGATTAAAATGGATTCATTTCATCCATATCTGTTTTGTAAAGGGGCCTGAAAAGGAAAGTGATCAGTTTGTTTTGGTCATTACAGTTAGCCTTCCCAGGGTCTCCAAGAAGTTGGTAACTGCGTAAGAGGGAAACAAGTGTAAGCCCACTAATTTTTTTCTTTATAAAATGCAGATTAAAAACTACTTAGAGCAAAAAGATCTACAAAGGGCAGTGAAGGAAGATGCCGTTTATTGTGCCAGTTATACCCTCAACCTGATCTCTGTCCTCAGAGAAAGAAAAGGGAGTTGAATTAATTGACCTTTGAAAAATTTCTCAAATGGTAATTTAAGGTTGTGCAATAGGCTTTTTGATTTTTGCTCTGTCAGAAACTTTTGCCTTGTTCACTATTTGAAGCATTACATAATTGAAAGACATGCTGTATGCTTTGGCGAACTTCTGCATGTGTGGTTGGAACAGTGGTTTTAAAGTTTAATGTATTTTTCAGACGGTTCAGATCTTTCAGAATGTAGTCATCTTGATAGAGGAATTAATAGAGCCAGTGTCAACTTTTTCTGATTTTAGGTAAAAACTTAAAATGTCGTTGAAGGAATCAGACAGGGTATAAGAAATAAGTTGAAGAAATAAGAGTTTTCTATTATTTTGAAAGAGGTGGAGATAATGGGGGGAATTATGAGAAATGTTTTACAAATGATATGCCACACGGGTGGTGTTATTAGGCTTTCTGAGCATATCACTCTAAAGGGAATGTTTCTTTTAAAACCAGAGATCTGAAGAACAATGAAATTTCCTGGACTATTGAAGACATGAATGGTGCTTTCTCTGGGCTTGACAAACTGAGGCGGCTGTGAGTATGAATTGCCTCATAATTTAGCTCACTCGTTGATTTACAATTTTTTTCTTGACTGAAGTCAGCTATACAAGTTGATATCATGAAGAGATTTGAAATCGGTGCTTAATGTGGTTACTACCCTTTATCCTCTCCCCAGATGCGTGCTGTTATGCAAGATGTATGTTATTAGCTTTTTCTTCCTTAGGTGAAAGTGTTTTATTCAACACTTTAGTGTGTGTAATTTACTTTAATATCCACTTAATAATTTTCAACTCTGCTGAGGGCCTAGACTTGTGGAATTATCTTTGTGTAAAAGTTAGTGCATGCACTTCCACGTTTTAAAATCCTCAATGTTGTACTGTCCTCGCAGGAATTTTTTTAATGAAGTAATCTAGTAGCCACTGAATGCTATGGTAGGTTACAAGCAAAACAGGATGAAAACATCTTATAATTAACCATAAAATGGTCTTGCAGATGGTCAAATTACCTGCTTTCAGCCAGCAGTTTTCAAATTGAGCTCCCTATAGTCCTAAACTCCTGTAGATGAAGGTATCCACAGAGAAGAAGGGGAAGGAGAAAGCATTCACTATTAACTTAGTGCTCTGAGACAGTTTACTTGAGATAAAGTCTCTACCTATTCCTAAAAGGACTCTGAAAAATAATGATTTAACTTAATCAGCAGAGTAACTCTTTGAATGCCTACTTTTGTTGGGCTCTTTGTTGAATGCTTTGAAAACCATGTTGAACTGTATTATTGAAATAGATGACATGGACAGGTTTTTACAGGATATATTGTTTAATTGAAGAAAATGGAATTGTTTACCCATAATTTAAAAAGCAGTTGTGTTTATGAGAGTTCTACCCCCAAAATGGCTTTTTAAATTAACTGTTTCAATGTAATTTTTTTTTTTCCCTAGGATACTCCAGGGAAATCGGATTCGATCTATTACTAAAAAAGCCTTCACTGGTTTGGATGCATTGGAGCATCTGTGAGTAGCAGAATTTACCCTAAACAAAGTCTCTAAGGTGGTTATTTGTGTCATGAAAGATAAAACAAACTAGAATGTAATTTAGTTGGCATCCTTCCAGTTTCATAAAATGCATTTAAACATCTCCGTACCTTTCTGTCTCTTTCTCTGTCTGCCTCTTACCTACCTACTTACCTCCCTACCTATATAGAAGTGTACAGGTATATGCTTTCCTTCGTATTTAAGGACAAAAGCTATATCTCCTTAATGGGTTTTTAATTGTTTTTCTCAGATGGTGATTAATTAAAAAAAAAACCTACTAGATATTGTTCATCCCCTATGTGTTGGGTATTGTGCCACGTTTTCACATATATTGTCTCATTTAATTTTTAATCAGAATACAGTTCAATAGCTATTATTATCTTTATTGTTAAGCTAAGTGGAGGTTCTAAGAGTTTATTGATTCCATTTGGCAGTTAAGGGAGATGACTTGGATATTAAAGAACAAAGATAATGTTCCACAATCCTTAAGAGTGACGTAGGGTTTTAGCACTCCTTTGAGAATTGTTGGTCTCTTATTGTTGTTTAATTATAAAACATACAACCCTCTTACCATTGTTGTCTTTGTTGTTGTTGTTGTTGTTTTCTTTTGTTTCTTCTGGACCCATCAGTTAGTAACTGCCAGGAACAGTACTCAGCTCAGAGCTGTTCCTACTTCCACAGTGTCCCTGCATCCCACTAGCTCTTGCCTGTACAATCTCTGCCACTACTCCCAGTAACTCCTGGCACACGTTTCTGAAATGTCATTTAGGGGCTCAGGAATTTTTAGCCACTAAGGAAAGCTAGCTAACTTCGGTAGGAATCAAAATGTGCGTGTTTTAACTAAGGGAACCAACCACTCCTTAAAACCCGCGGATGAATGTTTTACCCTTGTAGAGTAAAAAGTAAAAGTACAACGCAATGTATAGTATCTACTCGGACCGTTAAGGAAGGCTTATAGCCAAAAGTTTTAATATCTGTTAACCAGGACAAAAGAAGTTACAATTTAAAATACATGTTTGGTTGTCCCATGTGTGCTATATATTGAGAGTGAAGATTTAGCTGTTATTTATAAACCACTTTTCTGACTGCACCAGTTAGTCTGAGGGAGATTGGGATTATGAGCCCTCGTGACAGTGAGTGCGGCAATTCACAGTATAGTAGAATGATTCTACAGAGCTGAGCTTTGGAAGGGCAGACCAAGATTGCAGTGTTTATTGAAACCGACTATTTTGAAAAGAAAACTAGCCAAAAGGGTTTGTCATTTGGCCCATTCCATTTCTGGGAAAGGGAATTAGTGGATTAGTAGAGTATTAATATCTGCTTCAGTTTTCGTAAATCTTCCTTGATTGCCCGAGCCTCTTTGTCTAGCCCCGTCTGGTCCCTTCTTTCTTTGTCTTCTCTTGCCACTTGTCTCACTCAATATTCCCTTTGTATATTCTGATCCCTGTAGAGAAAAACAGTGTGCTAATCATTGCGGTGAATACTTGAATGCAGACTGCTTATAAGTCTCTTTAAAAAGAGAATTAGCCCAGAATGTGCATTCATTATGAATTTCCTGCCTGAAGTATTTGTTTGTTTTAACAAGTATATCTTGTCTAAACATCTCTTACTGTGTTTATGTTAGTGAGTTGTCTGTGACAGAATTAGATTAATGGTTGAAAGCATAGGTTTTGGAATTGAAAATAATTGTTTCAACTCTTACCTTCCCCTTTTGTGCGGAGTAGTAATACCATCATATTTTGGGTTGTTGTAGGAATAAATGCAGTACCATATGTAAATCACTTAACTGAGTGCCTGTCTTCAAAACTACTGTATAAATGATGCTTTTTAAAAGCATAATTATGAGAAATTTTATTTGTATATTTAGAAGTTTCTAATAGTTACTAATTTGAATAAAGAGTCATAGAATAAAATAATAGAACAGCTTGGGCCCTAGTAAGTCAAATAACCTGTAAGTGATGACAGAAAATGAATCTTTTTCACTAAAACAGAACGTATCTCTGATACAAATCCCTTCATTCTTCATCACAAGCTTCGTAGTGGATTATTCTGGGGTTGCCCCAATCGTCTATTTCAACACATAGAGAGGAGTATTTGTTTGGCAAATGGGAGTGGGCAGTGCGGGCCCAAACTTTGTCCCACAGTGCAAAATGGTGGTGGTTTGCCCTGATGCATTTGATGTGGTGATTTTTCAGAGACCTGAGTGACAACGCAATCATGTCTTTACAAGGCAATGCATTTTCACAAATGAAGAAACTGCAGCAATTGTAAGCTTTTCTTTTCCTTCTAGGGGTCTGAAAGTATAGAGGGGAAAACTGTCGTACGATGTGTCACCCTAGATTATGTATCTGTAAAAAGTGCCTGGCACATTCTTAACATTACTTAATTTTTATACTAGACAACCAAAAAGGAGTTGATTTGTTCTTTTTGTTGAAATGTTTCTTTTTCTATTTTAAATTTGCAACTTTGTGGGACCACATACAGTACAGTGACTCAATATAGTAGTAATTTTTCAGTTATAAGGTACTTTTGATAAATTTAACATTTTTGTCTCAGTAGGGCAGTAAGAACAACAGAAAATCATGCCAGATAAGGTCCTCGTATTTTAAAAAGGAATGTAGAATACTTATTCCATGGGATGTGTGTATTCAGTTTCCAAATTCATTGCTTTGTTAATATTTACTTGGGTTTAGTTTACTTGTAGAAATCTGCATTTCATACAGAACAAATTGAATGTAATTACTCTCCTCAGGCATTTAAATACATCAAGCCTTTTGTGTGATTGCCAACTAAAATGGCTTCCACAGTGGGTGGCGGAAAACAACTTTCAGAGCTTTGTAAATGCCAGTTGTGCCCATCCTCAGCTGCTAAAAGGAAGGAGCATTTTTGCTGTTAGCCCAGATGGCTTTGTGTGTGGTGAGTATAAGTATTGCCCTGGCCTTTTATTTATTCTTTTTTCCCTCCCGTTTATCCAAATAATGGTTTTGAATAGATTTATGATCTCTTTATAAAGCTTTTATTTGTGCTGAGGTAGAGGAAAATGGGTCTGTAGCTTGCTGATTATTTTAATTTCACAGATGGGAAAGAGAATTTTCTAAAATTGCTTCATCTTTATTTTGGCATCAGGATGGTTTGGTGGAAACAATGAAATTGGATCTTGGGAGAATGGAAGGATAGTCCCAGCCCTTCTACTTAACTTAAATTCCTTAAATGTTAGTCTCTGCATCCATGAAATGGGGACTCTCCTCTTTTCTTCTCTTCCCAACTCTGAGGCTTGTTGGGAGGCTCACATGAAAGAGAAAGTTATTAGTGATTTATGGGCTGCTAAATAATTGGTAGGTAAAACATTTACAAGCATTAGGAAATGTGAATTTATTATAAACAATTTTAAGGTCCATTGTTTTAGCGTCCAAGAATCTCGGCATTAGAAATCTAGTTACCCAAACTTTACATAGCTAATTCGTAGCAGATCTGGATTTAAAAGAAAAGTTTTCATCTCTGATGCAGTTTTCTGTCTATTACACGGTACTGCTATTTACTAGTAGCTGCCATGGAGACCTCTGTAAAAATAAGTATGTTTATGAAACAAGAAATCAGAGTTTGCTTATATTTAAGCATGTGTGTTAAAATATTAACCTTCTTTTGCATTGGCATTTAATAATTTACTTAAAACTGCCTTGTCCATGATATATATTTTTAGGTTGCAGCATTAAGCAGTGCCAGTATTTTCTGGAAATAAAACTTCTGATGTAGCTTTTGGATCCGAATAAGCTTTTGGCATTCATCTGTAAGGGCCCGAACTGCTCCTTTCCCATGGTCCTTATTTCATAGTTTTTTAGTCCCAAAATAGGAACTCCCTATTACTTTGAAACACATATATGGTATCCATAGTTTTTTTTTTCACTTCCTTGTGAATCTGCACGTTGACTTATTAAATGAGAATTTCAGAATAATTTAGAAAATAAACCACTTCGGTTACAGTATGCAGATATGGCATTGAAAAATAGCAGCATTGGAGTTATCAAGGCATCCCCCGTAACCCATTCAACACACTTAAAAGTTGTTTTTTCAGAGCACCCCGATAGTACACTTTGGTAGATCCCAGATGTTTCCTTCTGGGTTTAGCTCATCTCTGAGAAACTGAAGTTCAAAAAGGTAACTTTTCCAAAAAGTAACAGGGAACTAAAAATAACTGCTTAGAATGAAAGAGTTGCTTAGCTCTAATTATAATGTAGCTTTGACAGGGATTGACCACTCCAAGCTCCAGGCCGAAGGCAATGTCTTACAATTTGTTTTAGAGATGCTTTATATTTTGCTATCAGCTTTTTTTCTTCTTTTTTTCTTATTGGCTCTACCTAAATTACTGCTGTTTAATAGTGGTTGTGTTTTGGTAAATGGGGTGTTAATGGCTATCTTTGTTGATTAGTCATGATTGGTGTTCGATTTCCTAATGTTGCTATTCCTTATTTGGGGAGAACATGGGAACAGTTGCAGTTTCTGGTAGAAGTAGCATTCAAAAATGATCCACGAGGCTGGAAGTTGTTAAACTGCTTTCTTCTACTTATGCAAAGCATAAGGGATCAGGAATAAACTGTGTGTTTTCTGATAGCTCCAAAATAACAGTCTCTTCTCAGGTAATAGTGATTGATAAATAGGAATCTGTCTCTATTTGAGATGAATGAGTTACTTTATAAACACTCTTCCCATGTATCATTTCAACACAGGGCCTGCTAGTCCATCTGTAAAACATACACAAAGGCTGAAACCTAAGCTGTTGTTTGTTTCTGCATTTCTTGGTGTTCAAATTTGAGTAGTATTCAGACTCTTGAGCCTTAACGTTGTTTTGTCTCCTCCTCTCCATTTTGAACAGATGATTTTCCCAAACCCCAGATCACGGTTCAGCCAGAAACACAGTCGGCAATAAAAGGCTCCAATTTGAGTTTCATCTGCTCAGCTGCCAGCAGCAGTGATTCCCCAATGACTTTTGCTTGGAAAAAAGACAATGAACTGCTGCATGACGCCGAAATGGAAAATTATGCACACCTCCGGGCCCAAGGTGGCGAGGTGATGGAGTATACCACCATCCTTCGGCTGCGCAAGGTGGAATTTGCCAGTGAGGGGAAATATCAGTGTGTCATCTCCAATCACTTTGGTTCATCCTACTCTGTCAAAGCCAAGCTTACAGTAAATAGTATGTGATCTGACTTTTCCTTTAGCATTTAAAGATACCTTTTAGAAATAGAAAGCACCTGTTTTTCTCCCTGAATCTTAACTCTGTCCTTTCTTCTCACAGTTCCCCACCTGACTCTTCCTTTCCCTACCTTTCTTTCTACAAAATTAAGATTCTTGGTTATTTGTATCTAAACCTGCAATTATCATGTTGATGATGACACCGTACTCAGTGTGGTGAGTAACACAGAAATGAACCAGACATATTTTGCTCTTTTTTTTTTTTTTAAGACAGATTCTTGCTCTGTCATCCAGGCTGGAGTGCAGTGGTGTGATCTCAGCTCACTGCAACCTCTGCTTCCCAGATTCAAGTGATTCTCTTGCCTCAGCCTCCTGAGTAGTTGGGATTACAGGCATGCATCAGCATGCCTTTCTAATTTTTTTGTATTTTTAGTAGAGACAGGGTTTCACCATGTTAGTCGGGCTGGTCTCGAACTCCTGACCTCGTGATCCATTCACTACAGCCTTCCAAAGTGCTGGGATTACAGGCGTGAGCCACCGCACCCGGCCAGGTTTTTCTCTTTGAGAGTTTACAGTGTACTGTATGATCTGGGAAGCTGCAAAGCACTGGATGCACACTGCCTTTAATTCAGAGATCTGTGTGTGAATCCTGTCACTCCTGCGTGTGGCTGCGTGATTCTCACAGGTTACTTCACGTCACAGCCTCTAGTTCCACCTCTTTCAATTAGGGAAAAATAGGTCCTTCCCCCAGAGGCTTTATGCTTATTCAGTAAAATAATGTGTGTAGAGGATGTAGCAACATGGCTGCAAGGTAGAATGCAGTGTTAGCTACTGTTAATAGAAGTCTATTCTTGTTTGTGTGGTAGGTATACAGTTTTACAGTAGGATCCTCGCCACTTTATCATTTAACTATCTGTGTCTGCCATGGTAGAAGATTTCGAATATGATTCTTTAATGTATTCACTCAACAAATGATGGCTGTGGCCTGCCACATGGAACAGTTTTGAGTTTAAATTGTAGAACAAAACATGTATCTTAAAAGTCACAATGTTAGAGCTACCAGCAGGTACTTTAAAAAAAAAAAAAGATGAAGCGAGTGGTCAGGGTACAAAGAGATTAATTGACATGCCCAAGATCTCACAATTCATTATTGAGGAAACTAAAAAGTGGCAGAATATAGCAGAAAGACCTTCATTCTGAGAATCAGTTGACCTGTGTTTTATCCTGACTTCGTTGTTTCTGTATCTGTAACCTTGAGAAAGCCTTTTAATCTTTCCATCTCAACTTTAGTTTCCTTGACTTGAAATTGGAATTAACCCTTGCCCAATCTATGTCAGGGACAATCTGTAAGCGTCAAACAAAAAAAATAAAAAGGAATGCAAGTGAACCTCTAAGACTCCATTGTGCCAATGCCTATATTGTTTCTCTGATTTCAGTGCTTCCCTCATTCACCAAGACCCCCATGGACCTCACCATACGAGCTGGGGCCATGGCACGCTTGGAGTGTGCTGCTGTGGGGCACCCAGCCCCACAGATAGCTTGGCAGAAGGATGGGGGCACAGACTTCCCAGCTGCACGGGAGAGACGCATGCATGTGATGCCCGAGGATGACGTATTCTTTATTGTGGATGTGAAGATCGAGGACATTGGGGTGTACAGCTGCACAGCTCAGAACAGTGCAGGAAGTATTTCTGCAAATGCAACTCTAACTGTCTTAGGTGGGTGAATTTGTTAAGATTCCATAGTCTAAATCAGTCTTGAAGATACCAGCTCCTCCAGGGTCCCTAAATGCCAGAAGTTGTGAGAATAAGAGATGAAGATCTATGGGGCATTGCCTTTGCTGGGAAGTATTAATGCAAATGGCCTCTTGAACACTTTGAAGTTAGGGAGTGCATGACATCCTTAAGTCTGGCCAGTGAGGTGAATCCTTGTCCCCTCCATTCCAAAGAGAGGGGCGAAGTAAAGGTTTTGATGTTTTCCCGTTTATGGGGGATCACCCTCTAATTTACCCACTGTGCTGTCCATGTCGGTACTGTTAGCATCATAAGGAACATATAAAAAAATGTAGGAGGCCGGGTGCGGTGGTCACACCTGTAATCCAACACTTTGGGAGGCCGAGGTGGGTGAATCACAAGGTCAGAGATCCTGGCCAACATGGTGAAACTCCATCTCTACTAAAAATACGAAAGTTAGCTGGGTGTGGTGGCACACACTGGTAGTCCTGGCTACTCTGGAGGCTGAGGCAGGAGAATCACTTGAACCTGGGAGGCGGAAGTTGCAGTGAGCTGAGATTGCCACTGCATTCCAGCCTGGGCGACAGATCGAGACTCCATCTCAAAAAAAAAAAAAATTGTAGGAACAACTTAGGAAGGCCTTATTCTTTTTTCTCAGCCTACCATACCTCTCTGGAAGTCAGAGTTCTTTTTCATCTTTTACCTAAACAAATGCTTTTTAAAAATGTAAACACAATTATTTATGTATCTTCAAAAGAGCTAATTAAAGTAGCCTATTAAGATACTAAATAAAGTAAATTATTGTCTGAGTTTTAGTGTAGGCCTAGGCATCTGGCCCTAAAGTATTTCACTTAAAAAACTTAAGCATTTTGATTTTTTTATTCATCAACATACCCTTGTGCTTGAAATTATTTTTATACTTTCTATGTTTAAAAAAGGTTTTGTTTCCCATTCTCCCCCCCGCCCCCCCGACCAGCTTCCCGACTTTTGCAAAAGTGAGGGAAGTTGAAATTTTAAAAATAGTAACTATTATAATTAACTGGTGTTACGAGTAAAAGCAGAATAGTGAAATACTGAATGTTGTGTATGTTTAGGCTCTTAAAAAAGCATGTCCAGTAAGTTGTGGGAGAATAAAATTTTAGGTTGCAATTTGAATAAATTTAAATGCTACATTTTATGATATGGAAACTAACTTTTATTTGGGAAATTAAAAGCATAACTTGTTATTTCAGAAACGCCATCATTTTTGCGGCCTCTGTTGGACCGAACTGTAACCAAGGGAGAAACGGCCGTCCTACAGTGCATTGCTGGGGGAAGCCCTCCACCCAGGCTGAACTGGACCAAAGATGATAGCCCTTTGCTGGTAACTGAGAGGCACTTTTTTGCAGCAGGCAATCAGCTTCTTATTATTGTGGACTCAGATGTCAGCGATGCTGGGAAATACACGTGTGAGATGTCCAATACCCTTGGCACGGAGAGAGGAAACATGCGCCTCAGTGTGATCCCCACTCCGACCTGCGACTCCCCTCAGATGACTGCCCCGTCGTTAGACGATGACGGATGGGCCACTGTGGGTGTCGTGATCATAGCCGTGGTTTGCTGTGTGGTGGGCACGTCACTCGTGTGGGTGGTCATCATATACCACACAAGGCGGAGGAATGAAGATTGCAGCATTACCAACACAGGTGTGTAAACAGAGGCTTGGCAACAGGTCACGGGAGTGTGTATTTGTGGTTCTGCAAATACTTCTAGAAGGTGTGTCTTGCAGTCTGAGTTCATCTCAGAAGGGTGACTCATTTGTTTCAAGCTGCAGAAATATGATTCGCTAAAAATAACACTCCAGCCCCAAATAAAGTTGATGTTTGAAGATTAATACTTTTTGTTAAAATGACATCAGAATATCTTGTGGCTGTAAGATAAAATCCAAGTCACTGACTAAAGTATTTCTAACTCCTTCATAAGGTAGTGATGGAGAACCAGGAACAGCCCCTTAATGATGAGGTTTACTCTCTGCAGTGGTTGTGTGTCTTGTTGTGTATGCGTATGTGCATGTAGGTAGGTGGGATTTTAGTTATCAGTGGAAGAGGAGCTGTGACTTGATTAGTATGTGCAAAATCAAATATTGATTAATAATATTAAGCAGGGAATATGTCAATAATCAAGCTTAATTTGAAAGCTTACATACTGTCCCATGAAAATTCTTAAGCCTTCATCTTTTAAAAAAACCTTTAAAAACATTTGTTGTTTTGAAATTTGGGAGGTGCATCCAGTGGGTGATAAAATAGAAAATCAGATTATACTTTCCAGGATACTGTACAATCAAGATGGTTTTGCCAGAATTGATCTCCCCTAATTTGATGTACACAGAAGCCAAAATAGTCTATGCTTATGGGATGCCTGTGGGACAATTATGATCATTCTGGGTTAATAAAATGCTACTGTTTTTTTACAGATGAGACCAACTTGCCAGCAGATATTCCTAGTTATTTGTCATCTCAGGGAACATTAGCTGACAGGCAGGATGGGTACATCTCTTCAGAAAGTGGAAGCCACCACCAGTTTGTCACATCTTCAGGTGCTGGATTTTTCTTACCACAACATGACAGTAGTGGTATGTATTTAAAATGAATGTGGGCTGTAATTGTTTTGTAGTCTTATAATGGAAGGCTCAGATATGACACTCATTTTCACAAGGCATGGAGTACACTGACATTTAGGACCTGGCCCAAGATCACTAGCAACGCTGAAATTGTATAGTTCTAGACCCTTCTCTTAAATACTAGGAAAAAAAAAAATCTTTGTTTCTGACAATTAAAAAAAGACCAGTAGGTTTAGAGAAATTTGATTATTCCATGCAATCTAGTATTTCCGTTACGTTATAAATGTTCTTTGGCCCTGAGTGTTCTCCTTCCTTAAGTGATATTAACTGATTACATGAATGGGCTTTAAAGTCAAATGGTTTGCATTATTTTCTTTGAGAAGCCTATTTTTAAAATTTATTTTTATTTTATTTATTTATTATTATTTTTTGAGATGAAGTCTCGCTCTGTCTCCCAGGCTGGAGTGCAGTGGTGCGGTCTTAGCTCACTGCAACCTCTGCTTCCTGGGTTCAAGCCATTCTCCTGCCTCAGCCTCCCGAGCAACTGGGATTGCAGCCTCGTGCCACCATGCCTGGCTAATTTTTTTTTAATTTTTATTTTTTATTTTTAGTAGAGATGGTGTTTGGCCATGTTGGCCAGGCTCATCTTGAACCCCTGACCTCAGGTGATCTGCCCACCTTGGCCTCCCAAAGTGCTGGGATTACAGGCGTGAGCCACCGCACCCAGCCTCTTTCAGAGGTCTAATTCTGACCCTTGCTTTAAATGCTGCATGATTTTGAGAATAATAATGGAGACAGCATCATACAAGAGCACAGGTTTGGTACAAGACCAACTCCTACTACTTACTCCGTGTGCTGTGGGGCATGTACAGGACTTTCCAATGAGGCAGTTGTACAAATGAAATGAAAATGGAAACCTACATGGTGCTAGGCACATACTAAGGGCTCAGCAAGTGGAAGCTATTGATGCGATTCTAAAATATATGACCAACTTTTCCCTTAAGTATTTATTATATGCTCTGTGCCAGACATTGTAGTGGGAAGAGAAGTATATTTGTTTTCAATTTCACAGTTTAGTCAGCGGTGAGATCAACTAAAAGTGCTTGTCAAGGCAGTGATAGAGGGCGTAGAGTTAGAAGATCTGAGCATAGACGTGAGTATTCTGGTTAGAACCATTTACTGGCAAAGAGTAGAGACCCAAGCTCATTAAACTATAATGGGATTAACTGAAAAGACACTTAAGGAACACCTAAAAAGACAGAACTGGGTCATTATGGTGCCAGGCTGCCTAGATGAGGCTGCTCCCAGAGCAGCTCTGGGCCACCAGCGTTACTGCGTCACATTCTGCATATTTGCTTTTCTCTCAGACCACCACCTTTCACTGCCTAGTTCCTGCTTTCCAGGCATATGACCCGTCGTGACGTCTCTAACCCTGATGATCTCATTTATTCTTCACCTGCTGTGTCCAGAAGTAAATGGTGTATCATTTCTGTGTTGTTTGGTTCAAATACCCATGAGATGATAAGTTCAGCTGAGCTTATCCTTGAGATGGGCGTTAAGAGGTCACTGGCCAAGTGCCAATCCTGGTTCTGGTCATCTGGGACCTTTTGTAAGAAGGGGGCAGTGCTGATGGTATGTGATTCAGACCATGGCTGCTTTGGCTGGAGCATCCACACACATTCGATTCCCTTAGAAACCAAGTGAGCAATAAGGCCGGCACACCTAGCACAGTGGGTAATTGAGTCTTCTCATACATTTTTTAAAACCTTACTGTAAATTTCTGCACTTTTTTTTTTGTCTATATAATGTTCTAGTCATACTTTCATCTATACATATAAAAAATGCCAAAACTGGGGAGAATGTTGAATGGCACTTGAATACTTGGATCAGTGACTAAGATTTTTGTTTTAAAGGGACCTGCCATATTGACAATAGCAGTGAAGCTGACGTGGAAGCTGCCACCACAGATCCGTTCCTTTGTCCCTTTTTGGGATCCACAGGCCCCGTGTATTTGAAGGGAAATGTGTATGGCTCAGATCCTTTTGAAATGTATTATACAGGTAGGTGGTTTTCTTGCCTGAGTATGGTTCTCTTTCATAGAGAGACTTCTAGATGTGCCAACTGTCATCTCCTTCTGTTATTACCCCCAAATTAAAAAGGTTGCAGTCCTGACCCAAGAACAGCTTTAATGGACCACTGTGAGCCCAGTTATGTAAAGAAAAAGGAGTGCTACCCATGTTCTCATCCTTCAGAAGAGTCCTGCGAACGGAGCTTCAGTAATGTTGCATGGCCTTCACATGTGAGGAAGCTACTTAACGCTAGTTACTCACAAAACGAAGGACCCGGAATGAAAAATCTGTGTCTAAACAAGTCCTCTTTAGATTTTAGTGCAAATCCAGAGCCCGCGTCGATTGCCTTGAGTAATTCTTTCATGGGTAAGTTTATTAGGTTATCAGGTACCTCATCTGAGGATCCATACTCTATAAGTTGTATGTGAGACATCAATGAGAGCTTTGAATGTCAAACTGGTAAAAAATGGTTTCTTGCATGGTGCTGCCATGACATCCTACTAGTTAGTGTAAAGGCTTCCAAAAGCAAAGTCTAAGATGGGATTTTACTTGATGATGTGTTTAATTTATAACTAAGCCTCAGGAGCTTTCTGGGTAGCACTGTGTGTGGCATCTACTTCAAGACAAGAGTTTGGGGATGACTTAGGAGCTCAGCTTGTCAGCCATGTGGAAAAAGTGGTTTCAGACTCCCACGGCCTTTGGGGTGGAGTTGTGTGCTCTGCATGATTGTGGTTTGGTATGTCTGGTGGCTTCCAACTGAACCCGCAGCCGAAGCGTGGAAAACAGCATCCTACCTAGCAACAACTGCTAGTTTGACAAGCTAGACTACCTTTGGCAAAGAAAACCAGCCTTAAGGTCCAAGTCAGTGGTGTTAGATGCTGGCTGGCACCGAGATTAGGTTGTGGATTTTTGGTCTGATGCATGGGTACAATGGGATGGAAGAGCTGAGATCATCTTTTCACTGAGCAGAGAGAGATGGGAAGATCAGCTACGACTTGCCATGTGGACAAAAAAAAAATGGAGAATTTTCAAATATTTTATCTAGCTTCTAAGAAATGTTTTATCACAGTATAATTATTTATATTCCTTTTTTTAAAAAAAAAAAGAAAATAATATGATTTGTATGACTGAGGCAAGAATTTGATTCAATTGAGTAATATTTTGCTACAATTAATAAAGAAAGGTCAAGACATAGGTTTATTTTGAAAGAAAATTTCTATATTCAGGCCCAGTTAGCTTGGATCGTACTGTCCAGTGTACCGTACCCTTCACCAAAGTCTGTGGGCTTTCAGCTAGCATATGGGGAAGCTTATATTGGGGAACTTAGGGAACTTTATTGCATGACCACTAACATTACTACACGTCATAAGATATGGTAAAGAATAGATGCATTTATTCAGGAAATGTAAATATGAGGGAGGGCAAATGTCTTTTGCCCCATTCTGGAAGTGATCTATCTGTAACACAGATGTACATGTATGTGAGTACCATAATGTGGACTTGTAGAAAACATTTATTCATATTCATAGGGTAAGATGTTTCTTCATTTGCAGTTGGTTTTATTGATTCACATGCTAGCAAAGGGACCCATGTGCTCAGGGTGTTTCTTTCTTTCAGGTACATTTGGAAAAGCTCTTAGGAGACCTCACCTAGATGCCTATTCAAGCTTTGCACAGCCATCAGATTGTCAGCCAAGAGCCTCTTATTTGAAAGCTCATTCTTCCCCAGACTTGGACTCTGGGTCAGAGGAAGATGGGAAAGAAAGGACAGATTTTCAAGAAGAAAATCACATTTGTACCTTTAAACAGACTTTAGAAAACTACAGGACTCCAAATTTTCAGTCTTACGACTTGGACACATAGACTGAATGAGACCAAAGGAAAACCTTAACATACTACCTCAAGTGAACTTTTATTTAAAAGAGAGAGAATCTTATGTTTTTAAAATGGAGTTGTGAATTTTAAAAGGTTAAAAATGCTTTATTTATACAGATGAACCAAAATTACAAAAAGTTATGAAAATTTTTGTACTGAGAATAATGCTCATATAAGAATACCTTTTAAAACTATTTTATAACTGTTTTATGCAAAAAAGTATCTTATGTAAATTAATGATATAAATCATGATTATTTTATGTATTTTTATAATGCCAGATTTCTTTTTATTGAAAATGAGTTACTAAAGCATTTGAAATAATACCTGCCTTGTACTGTTTTTGAATAGAGGTTATTTCATTATATTTTGCACATTATATTTAATAAAATGTGTCAATTTTATGCCAAGCCCCATTTATACAAAAACAATTTTATTTTTCACACATTTTAGGCTTAATTAGTTCACACTATCATGTCTCAAATTGATGGGAATTATATTTAGCCCATTAAAGTATGAACAAAAATGACCATTCTTTCTACTTCCTAGGATTGTTATAGATTCAAATCAGATTGTGCATGTGAAAGCACAATTGTAAACAAGAAGGAGCTACAAAGATTTAAGCTACCTTAATTCATTTCTAAATCTATGAACAAAAAAAGATTTGTGGTTATGATCTGGTATAATATAGTACAACTGCCATTCCTTAAATCACTGCTCAATTCATGTTTCTTTAATTATAATAATGCCTTATGGTCTAATGCCTTACGCTTATCCAAGTAGTTTCACATTTGCCGTCTCTTTTCTTACAAGAAGCAAATGTTTTATTGTACATGTCTATAGCTAAAGTGGCTATAGCAGAGGTGGACTTTCATGCACTGTTTCAGGTTATAATGAGATGCTGCTGGAATTCCTTTCTGTTTTTATTGATTTTCTACTGAAGAGTAGTTTGTATATAAATGGTACTCAAGCTATTTTTCAACATTCTTTAACAATTACCAAAATATTTTCTTTGATCGTTAAGGTTTGGTTAAAAACTAAGTAGCAAATCTGTTACTTACGCATGTAAAACTATTTAAAACATTTGTTTTAAAACAGTACTAGTTAAACATGTAATTTATATGACAGACATATCTACATAGAAAAATGAATATAACCATATTTTCAAAACTAGATGACACAGTTCAAAGTAACTGAATGGAAAAAAAATTCAGTTTAATCAGATCATGAAACTGTTTTTTCTTCTTCAGTAAATTCTAGTTCGTATGTGTAGTTTAAAGAAAAACCCCTTGCTCAAGATAAATTGGCACAAAAGGAGTTAATATAGCACAATAAGATTTAAAAATTAACTGACCTCGAAGGTGTGAATTTATGCCATTGTCTTGTCTTTGAACTAAACTGAAAGCAGCTATTCAAAAAGCAGATTCTTCTTAGAGAATATGTTGGGGGTAAAGTCTTTCTGCTTTTAGTGAGTTTAGAGCTTTGTTGTTTGTAAGCCAGAGCCTGGAATCCAGATTGCAGTCGATTTTCCTGCTTTAATTTAGATGCCAGAGTCCAAGACAGGACGCTGATCCTTCCTTGGACCACCAGTGACTAAGTACAGAGGAGTAATTTCGTGGGCTTTGGCTTGATCATATTGCCAGACTTTCAAAATTTTATTGTTAGTTTGTCTTCATTATTGCCAGATGGGGCCTTTTCAGTGACTATGAACTAATTTTAAAAGATTTAATTTCTCCATGCTGAGCACAAAGGTTTAAATCATTAACACTTGAAATTCAAAAATTAGATTCACTCTACATCAGTATGATTTTACCCTTTTACTGTGGCATGTGCTGCACCTTGTGGATTAGGTGTAATCTTAACTATCTGGAGAAAGAGTAGGAACTTGATTTCTCTTTGACACTTGCAGGAAAAGAGTATATATGATTTTGAGACTCCATATTGAATTGACAAAATTAATCTAGTAGGTGGTAAGAGATCCTAAAATAACATAGACTCAAGGTTGAAAGCCTAATGTAGATAAATGTCACATTGCTTGAAGGAATCCTTAAAAATTCCAGCTTAATCATCCTATGCTTTTTGATATGAGTTCATGTATAACATATCTTAATAGATGTTCACAAAATTTCTGTATTATTTTAATGTTAATTCCACTATTGGCACTATTAAGATAGTTACTATGTATAATCTTACCTGTTTTGTAGGTTATTGGGAAAGAAGTACTCCTTAGTTCTGGCAAAATTTTATGAAAGTTAAATATCTGTGGAATATATATAATTTATTTTCACAGCCTTGCTACAGAAGGAAACCAAAAGTTATTTCTTACAATAGAGCCATACTACTTTTTAAAGATTGACAGAAGAAAGGAAAGTGGTTTGGTGTTTGTACACTTGGGAGGCTCTATTTATTTCAATTCAGTGTGATAGGAAGTAATTTATAATCAATATTATGACAGATGTGCTACACTGGTATTCTTCAAGAGAATGGGAACCAAATGTCATTGCAAAATGCCTGAGCTGTCCTTCTCACCCTTGCAATCTGAAATGATCAGATTTATGTAATAGGATAATTTAGAATTCATTGTTTAAGACAGCATTCTATTAACACATTGGATAACACAATACCCTGCCAAGAAAACAATTAGGCCTCAAAGAGAGGTACAGTGTCTTCATGAACTGAATAATTTTCATACTCCAGAAATATCTAGGTGCCAGAACTTACCATTTTCATGGGACATTTCTTAAACTAATGTGTAATAGGAAAGCACTGAAATAATTATCTTGCTTCATCCCAAATGTGACCTAAAATGGCACAGAAATATTTTCACTGGTATTTTATTTTAATAGAGAAGAGATTATGCCCACATATTTTCTGAATTATCCCAATATCTTGGGCCATTTGGTTTTTGTTGTTGTTGAAAAAATCTGTTAACGGGATGTCTTTTGACAAACATGTTTTATTTTATTCAAGGTACATTATTATGAAATTAAACATATGAAAGTCTATATTGTAGATTAAGCTGTGCACAATTTATCAAGTTTATTCTTACTATTGTAAAAATTGCAAGTTCATTTTTCATTTCTGTTTTTTTTTAGTGTCAGACCTGGATTCCATATCTGTCTATATGATGGTTGATACCCATGAATACCAGAAAAGTTAAACCAACATTCACAGGGAGCTTTTAATTAAAATTACATGTTTTAATTAAAGACATTTTAAGAATACATTTAAAGAATATGACAAGGGAATTAACAACTGTATAATTCTTCTATAATTTTTTATATACCTTTGTTGGGTTTCATGTTGAACTTTGGCTTCTATTTTACAGGTTTAACTTTTTTTCTTAACTCATTTTTTCTTCAGTAGTACTTTCATGAGGTTATTGTAGTTGTTTTGGTGGTTATTTTGAGATTACTTCCTGTGGCTTTATTTTGATCTAAGTACAGCGCAGAGTTGAAATTTGGAAACGATACACTTGACTTTTAAACATTTCTTATGCTCTGGTGATGTGAAAAATGAATAAAATCTTATTATCAGTGGGACAGGAAGCAGAGTCATGAATAAATCCTTATTATCAATGTGTTAAATGCTGTAGCTCAGTAGGCCCCTGTACCTGGCAGTGACTCTCTGAATGTTTGCTTTCTAACTGTACTACCTGGCAGTGGTACGTGCACCTCACCAGCATGTCCCTGGCTAAGCTAATTATCTCTTTTCTTCACCTGCATTCCACAGCCGTTCCAGTTCTGGTACTCTCTTTCTGGTTTAATCATCAGTAATCACCATTCCTGTTGGTTTTGCTCCTGGGTTTTCTCAAGGCAGATGATACCTTGCCTCTTATCCCATTGCCACAGCTGCAGTTCGGCCCCTTATCTCTCTTTTGTAGCAGTGTTTTAACCTGTCTTCTCCTCCCTTGTTTTATCCAATCCATTGTCTTTGCTGTCACCAGAATTACTTTTCTAAAGTAAATCTGAATGGGTCACCTCCCTGTTTAAAAACTTTTGATGACCGATTTTAAATCCTAGTTATGGAGTATAAGACCTTTTGTACACTTCCAAGCACACCCTTCAAGCCATGCTCTCATCACCCCCAAATGTTTTGACCATACAGTCCTCCTTATCCGCCCCTCTGCACTGTGTCCTTTTAGAAACTAAAAATCATTGTATGAATTATCTCATCTTTAGTTCTGCAAACATTTGAGTGGCTACTGTGCTAGGTGCTATCTTACTTGCTGTGGATATGATAATATTACTAAGACAAATATTCTCTCAAGAAAGTCCTAGATGACAGACTCTTTGTCCTGAAATGTTTTTTTCTTCTTTCTCACCTGGCAGAATCCAGTTCTTTTGCTTTTAGCCGAAGCATGATATCTGTTTTCCCATAGAACTCTGTGAACCATCTGAGAAAATCACAGGGAAGCAGGTAGTTACTAAGTCAGCTGTTACGTCATTGTATAAGAAATACTAAAAACAGTTAACCTCTGTGTTAATCAGTTACTTTCTATGAAGAAGTGAAGTAAAAAGTTGTATATTTTTTGCCAATCATGGTCTAGCACTTAGCAGTGTGATCACATGATGAATTAGATGATGTGTGGGCACTTAGCCGAAAATCAACTTGTGCAGTTTACTAAAGGTAAACAGATGGCCAGGTGTGTCGAGATTTTTTTTTCCCCTGTAGGAACTGAGTGGCTCCAAGTTAAAAAGTATGGGGTTTATTTGGGAACTATAGTGATGGACCTGAGTGAGAAGTTGCTGTCTCTCTGTCTTAACTTTGTCCTCAAACTATAAATATGATTGTGAGAATCCTGTAATCCAACATCCATCTTCCCTTAACCTTGCCTCTAGATTATTCACTCTCTTATTTTTCTCATCCAACTTCTCAAAATCTTAGTTCCTCTTCAACCTAGGAAGATCAAACTTTGTTCATATTCAATTGAAATTGTTTTGCCAAGATTGCCAGGTCTCCTAATTTCCAAACTCGCCCGTGTGTTTACAGTTTTCATTTTCCTGGATTAATACCTCGTCATAGCACCTTTCTGAATCTCTACATTTTTCTAGTCCTACTTGTCTTGCTGGTCATTTTTCTTGGTCTCTTTCATTAATGCATCTCCCATGGCCCACTTCTTAAAAATCAATGTTACTCAAGTTTTAACTTGCTTGGAGTGTCTGATAATGTGTCAATCCTTTACCAAGTTAATTTTTTATTTGCTTGGTATATTTTTCCCAATTCTGTCATTGCCATTCTCACTGTCCCATTTTTGAAGTCTGATTCCATTTACATGAAGTATCAGAAGCAGGCAAAGAAGCCAAGTAGAATAGTAGTTACCTGGGGCTGGCGGTGGGGGGGGAAATGGGAGTTGTTGCTTAATGCGTACAGATTTTCAGATTTGCAAGATGGAAAAGTTCTGGAAATCTGTTCCTGAACAATGTGAATAAGCTTAACATTACTGAGCCATACACTTAAATTTTAAGTAAGTTTATGTTGTGGTGTTTTAATCACAATAAAAAAAATGTGTCTGTTAAAATATAGTTAAACTTTTCCCAACCTGGTCTTTGGTTTTTAATAGGCATATGTATTAGGCTTCTCCAGAAAAACAGAACCAATAGGACATATATAGATATATGGGAGGATTTTATATGGGAATTGGTCTCTGTGAGTATGGAGGCTGTGAAGTCCCACAACATGCTGTCTGCAAGCTGGAGAGCCAGGAAAGCAGTGGTGTGATGCGGCCTGAGCCAAAGACCTGAGAACCAGAAGAGATTTTCAGTTCAACACTGAAGGCCTGGGAACCTGGAGCTCTGATGCCAAAGGGCAAGGATAAGATAGATTTCCCAGCTCTACGACAGAGTGATTTCACTTTTCTTCCAGTTTCTTGTTCTATCTGGGCCCTCAATGGATTGGATGCTGCCTGTCCATACTGGTGTGGAGGGACCTTCTTTACCCAGTCCACTGATTCAAATGCTAATTTCTAATGGAAACACCCTAAAAAACAAATTGACATGTAAAATTAACCATCACAGTGAGTTCATGCTATTATCATTTGAAAATTATGAATACATTCGGAACTGTTTCTTCTTTTTCTTTTTTCTTTTTTTTTTTTTCTTTGAGACTGAGTCTTGCTCTGTTGGCCCAGGCTGGAATGCAAAGGCACCATCTCAGCTCACGGCAACCTTTTCCTCCTGGGTTCAAGCGATTCTCCTACCTCAGCCTCCCAAGTAGCTGGGATTATAGGCGTCAGGCACTATGCCTGGCTAATACTGATATTTTTAGTAGAAACAGGGCTTCTTCATCTTGGCCAGGCTGGTCTTGAACTCCTGATTTCATAATCCACCCACCTCAGCTTTCCAAAGTGCTGGAATTATAGGCGTGAGCCACCGTGCCCAGCAGAACTATTTATGCTATTTTACTTTGTTCTGTTACTCATCATTTTTCTTCTTTTCTTGACTTGAATTTTTTCTTGTTTGTTTTGCTAGTTTGGAACTTATACGTTAGTTATATTTTTATTCTTAGGAAATTTATCACTAAAATTTTTAAATGATTTTTTCTCTCTCTCTCCTCTTGTTTTTTCTTTACAAATAATGAGTTAAGCTTCATTGTCTTCCCAGAAAAGATAGTGATTTAACAAACTTTTCCTGCTTGCCATCACTGTCTTCACGAATTTTTCTAGAAATCTTTCCACATGTTCATTAGAATGACCAACATACTTTACCATTCCTTCAATCACTTTACTTTCATTACTCTTGGTTAATTTTTCTTCTTGATAAACCACAGTTGTCCCTCAGTGTACTCCAAGGACTCATTCCAGGAGCACTTACCTATACCAAAATCCACACATGCTCATGTCCTGCAGTTGGCCCTGTGAAACCCAGGCATTTGAAGTCAACCTTCCCTATATGCAGGTTTGGCATACCTTGAATACTATACTTTTGGTCCAGGTTTAGTGGGTTTTGTTTTTCGTTTCTTTTATTGTTGTTTTGTTTTTAATCTCTGTAATTGGACCCATGCAGTGCAAATTCCGATTGTTCAGGGGCCAGCTGTGTATTCCTTTGGAATTACTTTAACCTGTTAAAAAATATGTTCTCATGGCTTTTGTGGGTCTAAAGATATCCTCATCTTGCCCTAACTTGAATTATGGTTTCGTGAATAAAAATTATTAAATTGGTAGTCGTTTTACTTGATTATCTTTCAGAATCATTTGCTGAAATCTGTTTTCACTCTATTGTCAGCCTTCTGCTACTGATAGATCTTTTCTGTCTGGTAGCTATTAAGTCTTTTCACTTTATCTATCATGCTTTTCAGTTTTATTGTGATGGTTCTAAATGTGAGTTTATTTAACATACCTGACCTGATGCATATTTAATCTGAAAATTCGTCATAATTCTGGAAAAAGTTTGACCTTTTAGAAAACTGTTTACCTGTTTTTCCATTTACTTTTAAATTCTCAAATTCCTTTAAGATATGTTTTAGAGCTTCAGAAAATCTCTTATGTTTCTCATTTACTCTCACGTGTTCTTTTTCCGTGAATAATTATCTTAATAAGATTATGTTACTCTATTTTTTAACTGCATTCTAAAAAGTCATTTTTTTAATGACAAGGACTGTTATCTTTACATATGTCAGAATTTGCAATGTTTCTGTTTTTAGTCATTTCTTATTAAGCTATATCAGCCTGCTTGTGTTACACAAAATTATGTGGGTGTTACTTTCTTGTGTCTCTGATAATCTTAAACAAAACTATTTCAAAATCACAGAAATTGTATTTTTATTTTTTAAAAACTGACACAATCTCTGTCTTGTTTACCATCTCTCTCAGTGTTAGTTTAGTTGTGTGCTTTGGAATTTTTTTTTCAGGTTTATCTTTTTCCTTTTCTTCCTTTTAGAGCTGCCTCTCTCCCTTTTTAGTGGTTTTATGATTGC